AAATTGGATTAATGTATAAGTATTGAATGATTTTCATTATTAAAAAAAAATAGTGTACTTAAATTCAAAGCTTAAAATAAAAGTAACAAGATCAGGCGTGCACAACTCAAAATGTGTGGCAGGGCGCAATACCTTATGACAAACTTATGCGGGTAGTAATACTTTATAAAAAAACTGTGGACCGAACGATAAATAGGATATGGGTGAAAACTATTATGAAAAATAATACAGCAACTCGTGCCACCAAGTGGGTGTTTGCGGGCTGCATGCCCGCCACATGCCTGATCTAGATCATTGAACTAATCCTTTACTTTTAAAGATTGGATTATTACATTTTGTTTCTGATGGAATCATGCATTTTAAATAAACCAACTTTCTGAGGCCTAACTGAGCTGAATATTTGCACATTACCAAACCCTGATGACTATGAATTATGTCATTATCAGGAGATCACAAGCTATCTCCACCTACACTTGACTGACCTCTGTCTTGCAACTCAATTTCGACCCATTTCGTAATGTCAAATTGAGATAAAATATTGTAAATATATTACCCCCCCCCCCCCCAAAAAAAAAAAAAACCCCATTATAACGTGAAAATTTTGTTCAGTTAAAACTTCGGAAAATTTTCCTGTAATTATTTTAGTTTGACTCTGTATATATATTGAATGATTTTGATGATTAAAAAAAATTAAAAAAATGAAAGTTGATATTTTTTTTCATATTCAAAGCTATAGTCCATTTGAAATCAGTTCCTACATTTAGGGATATAATATCAACAGTAAGTCAATATTTCTGATTACATATACCCTCTCATTAAATTACCAACACTGTATTTTGGCACACATGAAATTCATCGAAATCAGTCTGTCACCAGTGAAAACCACTGACAATGTTGCACCGGAAAAATGCATTGTGATAAGTAGATCAACAATTAACACCACAGCCCGTATGGCACCCAAAATTACACTGAGACAAGAAGGTCACCAGAGAACACCATTGCATGTGTTGCACCCATTTAACTCAATGCTACCAGTAGGTCACCGGTGAATCCTACTGACCGTGAGGCAGCCACGAAATACACCTATTTCTTTATTAATTTAATGTTAAAATCATGTATGCGTTTTTACATTGATGCAAAATAATTTTATTAAGCTAAATAATTCGTTACTGATATAGCCCGACAGCAGTGCGTGAACTTCCCATATAATTTAGAAAATAGAGTAGCTTAAGATTTATTTTTAAAAAAGAAAATATATTTGTGTTCTTACTTTGCGAAAATGTAAAGCGGGTGTATGTTCCATTGATTTTAATAACATTAAACAAAAAAAATGACTCCCAAGGCAATTTACAGACGTGAAAAACCGTTAAAAGATTCTTCTTTAGATCAAAGAATTCTTTGTTATACGATTTCCCGATAATATAGTAGAAAAAAAAACACCAAATGTTGATTTATTTTTTTAAGGAACAAAACAAGTATTTAAAATTGTGTTGATATAAAATGATTTAAAATGGTTTATATTGTTTTTGTTGTAAATTTAAGATTAGGGTTTTACAATTTTGAGATAATTTTTTTTTTAGTTTAGGGGCACGAAAGGGGTGGGGTAGGCCAAACATTTAATAATTTAAAACACATGACATTCAAAGTATTTCTGTCGCGTAGAAATCAGCCGACAATAAACTCTTTAGTGACAATCACCTTTTAAATAGTTTTTATGTAGATAGAAATAAACGTGTAGTTTAGGGTGAGAAAAGGGATAGGGTAGGAGTATAATATATAGCAGGAAAGTACTTCTTAAAACTTTAAATGAGGTTAGAAACGTTATCTAATTGCAAAATACTTCTTTTGAAATAAAAAAAAATTGTGATGAGTTCTAGTTCCAGTAGGTGGAGGTTATCAGAAAGGGCCTGTTATTATGATCTCGATAACATCGTGTGATATTTTCTAGTAAATATATAAGAGATGATAGAGATAATTAAATGACATCAATTGAGTTCTTACAGCTGGCTTGTATTAATGTGCTATGATCACATCGGTCGTGATCTTGACAAGATGAATACAATTAGTGATAATCTGCATGCTTTTCTTGGTGATTTGAAAAATGATTTTGATTTTATGGGCGGCCCATGCTGTTTTAGTAATGTGACTGTCACAACTCTGGTACTTTGATTTCATGTACATCCCTGGCTTTTTAAGTAAGAACTCTGATTCAATGAGTTGCTGAGTTTCTCCTGTATTTTTTAGTCCAATGACTGATAGAGCTCTGATACTTGAAGTTCCTGTTCAAAAGCGCCTGACGGGCGGCGGTGAATTCGCTCTACATTTTCTCTTTTTTGGAATGTTTCTGTCAGGTTTTATTCCTGATAGTTGGATATAGTCGAGTCTAAAAGTCTCCTAGACGTATGAATATAATCTATTTTGAACAATATTAAGAATTTGTGGACTTATTCTGTGTGTTCAATTCACTATATTTATTAATATTAACAAAAACAGTCAAGTCTATTAACAAATACTTCTGGTTCACGAGTCGCTTGACAAAGAAGCAGTAAACTCTCTCCATATTTTCTCATTTTTGGAATGTTTCTCTCAAATTTCTTATTCCTGGATAGTTGGATATTGTTTAGTAGCTAAACTTTTCACTTATAACATCAAACAGTGTATCGCGGAGAAATAAATATGACGTCATCACCCAGTTCTACGAGATCTCATCAGCTACATAGAAGGATTAGATTTAAGAAAACCAGAGTGCGAAGTTCACTCATTGCTGTCGCCAATGTTTGGTTGGCTACCTCGAGTACGCTTATATTATGAAAAATAAGACCGAAGTTTGTTGACCGTTCCTTGGGACATCTCCCGCATACGTCCATGATTGTCTGTCTTCCTTTTAGTGTGTGTGTTCATACTAATTTCAATAGCTATTTGCAAACTTAATAGGATTGTCCATCTATATCAAAACCTGATATATCTCATTAACCGCGAGATTTCTAGAGATTTAGTTTGTAGGGTGTTGATTTATATAATTTAAGTGTCTAAAACAAGTGTTCAGAGCAACCCTAAGTATAAACTTGACTCAAATCTTCATCTGATTAGAAAAGTTTACACCCCCCCCCCCTTATGTCTTCAAGAGACGACATTAGGATGAAATTATGATGTAGTAAGCTCATTTAGTTGGGCATAGACAGCTTTGTTCAAAATTAATTCTGTCAGCTTTGGCATAAAACAAGTATTGATTTGTACAAATCCTCTTTCCAACCATTACGTCTTTTAGAACCCTCCGGACAAACAACAATGTGAACATGTACATAGCTTATATTTAATGACAACAACCAATTCGTTTAGTGTTTTCTATTCAATGACAACAAATTATAATGTGTTTAATGGTCTATTCAATGACCAAAAACAATTTGTTTAGTGTTCTATTCAATGACCAAAAACAATTTGTTTAGTGTTCTATTCAATGACCAAAAACAATTTGTTTAGTGTTCTATTCAATGTCCAAAAACAATTTGTTTAGTGTTCTATTCAATGACCAAAAACAATTTGTTTAGTGTTGTATTTAATGACCAAAGACAATTTGTTTAATATTCTTTTCAATGACCAAAAACAATTTGTTTAGTGTTCTATTTAATGACCAAAGACAATTTGTTTAATATTCTTTTCAATGACCGAAAACAATTTGTTTAGTGTTCTATTTAATGACCAAAGACAATTTGTTTAATATTCTTTTCAATGACAAAAACAATTTTTTTTTATTAGTATTGTATTTAATGACAACAAACTATTTGTTAAGGGTTGTTTACGATGAAAAGAAAAAATGTGTTTAGTGTTGTATTCAATGAAAAAAAAAAAGATTTTAGTGTTATATGACAACAATGACAGCAAACAATTTTTAAAACTGTTGTATTCCATGACAACAAACACTTTGTTTAGTGTTGTATTCAATGAAAAAAATGTTTTGTTTTGAATTTAATGACCAAAAAACCGGTTTATTTATTGCTGTTTTCAATAAAAAGAAAAAAAATGTTGAGTGTTTTATTAAATGACAACAAACGCTATCAGTGTTATATTCCAAACATATGGTTATTGATTGTCTCTTGAGTCTCATCGCATTAAAAATATGGCCAATCTATATAACAAGGGACTCTTTGGTTCTCAAATCTGGTACAAAGGGAACGTTACATTAGAAAATGCTTTCCGTGTGTTAATCTATGTGCACTGTCGTTTAATACAAAGTAGGTGGACGTTTGTGTGTGTCCCTCTAGCTTTCTATTAACCATTGAAACTTTTCCAGCACAATCCCAAATTCATGATATTCCATTGAAAACTTTCAAGCACAACTTCACCTCTATGACATTCTTTGACACGTTTCAAAGACACTCTCATCTCCATGTCTTTTCTTTAAAACCTTTCCAACACAATCTCGTCTACATGTCATTCCATTTAAACTTTGCAGCACAATCTCACCTCCATGTCTTTCCTTTAAAACCTTCACAACACAATGTCACCTCTATGTCATTCCATTTAAGAATTTCAGCACAATCTCACAATTTTTTTTTATTGATGTCTATTTCATCAAGTCTTTAATTGCTTGCCTTTGATTTCACCCTTAATATTGTATGGTAGAAATATAATTTATGTGTAACAATGAATCTCTTGACTTGATTTTCTCTTAGGAGTTGAAAAAAAATCTTTCTTTTTTATCGGAATCTATTGTAAAGTTAAAAAAAAAATTGTGCACAATTTAGGATTTTCAATTGAAAACTAGAAAAATGTGTATTCAAGATTTTTCGAGTGTATTAAGGATATGTTTAACTAATTTATTCAATACCATTAGAATCAATTTAAGGACGTTTACGATAGCTTGGTCTTAAGACCAGCCCAAACAAAAGACATAACTCCTGGCATATAGTTTGAGACACTCTCTAGTAAGAAAGGTAATCTAATTTTTTAAATTAAATTTTGGTAGATGGTAATCTATTTAAGATCGGTCTGACACGTCAAACAATATCTTTGGTGTTTGAGTTTCAACTTAGTCCAGAACCATGCCTGCGTTGGTGAGTAAAGCAAATAGATATGATAATTGAAAGTATTGAGTGTCTCTTAGATGTGTGAATGCAATTGTTAGAATTAATGTACAAAGAACGTCACGGGACAGGAATCAATAGTATGGCTCCGAACAGCCTGACTGTATAAAGCTTGTCACATTAAAGCTTGGATCAGAAAATATATCAACGTACTGACACATAAAAGATGACATAAGAACGGCCTGTTTCGAGCGATCTGCTTCAGAACAGTCTGCCTCACAACGCCGTTACTCAGAACAGCCTAGATCAGAGCAGCCTGTCTAAAACAACCTTAGAATTGTCATCCAATTTACAAGGTGCCACAGAACAATCTGCCTCAGATCCTCCTGACTAATGAAATCCTGACTCAAAACGGCTTGTCTGAGAACAACTAACTATGGACGGTCTGTGCAGAACGGTCTGCGTCAGAACAGTATGCTTCGGAACTGCGTGACTCACACTGCCTGGATCAGAACATGCCCCAGAATGCCCAGCCACATTAAAGTCTGCAACAGCAAAGCCTGCTTCATAACAGCCTGCCTCATAACACCCTGCTTAATAAATTTCTGTCGCATTACAGCCTGCAGAAAGACCTTAATCATAGCAGCCTACCAAAGAACAAGCTGTCTCAGAACAAAAGTACTAAGAAAAGACTGTCACAGAAGACCTGTCTCAAAGCGTCATGGCACAGAGCATCCTGGATCAAAAGAATATGTCTCAGTAGAGCCTGCTCCAGAACGGCAACTAGCATTAAAGCCTGCCATAGATTAGCGTATCTCAGACCTTCCTGGCAATGCAAAGCCTGTCTCAGAACATGCTGTCAAACAACAACTTTATTAAGAATGGCCTTTCTGAACGGTCTGCCCCAGTACAGTCTGCCTCAGAATGGAGCTACTCAGATCAGCCTGGATCAGTACAGGCTGTCTGGGAACAGCCTGTCCCGAACGGCCAAAAAATTAAAGTCTGTCACAGAAAATACCGCCATATAAAGTCATGTACACAGAAATGACTGATTCAAAACTGCCTTTCCTAGAAAAGCTTGCAATAAGAACGGTCGATTCAGAACGTTCTGCTTCAGATCAGCCTGCCTGATAACGGCTTGACTCAGCAGAGCATGCAACAGAACAGTCTTGATCATAAAAGCCTAACACAGAAAAGCTTGTTTCATAACCCCCCTTCTTAAGAAAGGGCTGTCACATTACAATATGATTCAGAACGACCTTAATCATGACCTTAATCATGACAGTCTACTATCGAAAAAACTGCCCCAGAATGACAATTCTCAGAAAAGCCTGCAACAGAAAAGCCTGTCCCAGAATGTTCTGCCTCGTAACAGACTAAAATAGAACAGCCTGACTTAATCGGCCAGTCTCATAACAGGACAGCTTTATCATAAGAGCCTGCAACATAAAATGTCTCAAAAAGACATGTTTTAGAACAGCCAGCCTCAAAACAGCATGTCACAAAAGATGATGCCGTATTATAGCATTCTACAGAACGATCTGTTAAATAAGAGTGTGCTTCAGAACAACCTGCTACAGAATAGCCTTATTATAACAGTCTTTTAAATAATGGACTGCCTATGCCCAGAATTCATCTGAATGATCTGCATTCATATTACACTATCTTAAAACAGCCTGACTAAGAACTGCTTGCCTTAAAATAGCCTGCCACATAACAGTCTTCCGTGTACCAACTTGCAACAGAACAACCTGCCTGCGAATGACATTTTCCCAGAATAGCATGTCACAGACAAACCAGACTAATAACTGCCTGTCTTAGAACACCCTGCCTAAAAACGGAATGTCTGTGGACAGACTACAACTGAAAGACCTTCAACAGGAGAGTGTTTCTCAATTCAGGCTGATTAATAACATTTATCCTCAAAACAGCCAGGCTATTAGAGACATCCTTATAACAGCTTGCAACTGAACAACTGACTAGGAATTGCCTGCAACAGAACATGTTTGAAAACAACCAGGCTCTAAACATCCTCTCCTAGAGCAGCCTGCCTCATAACATAATTCAACAGAACAATCTACCACATAATAACGTTTCATAGAAAGGCCTGCTTCATAACAGACTGACTCAAACAGCTGTATTCATAATAATCTGTCACCGAGAAGCGTTCTCATAACACCCTGCAAGATAACAAACCTTACAGAACATTACCTCCAAGTATGGAATATCTCAGAACCTGACTTAAAGTAAACTGCTTGCATCAGAATAACTGCCTCAGAACAATTCATGTCATAACAGCCCGCAAAAGAACAGCCTGTCCAATAAAAGCCAGCTTTACCTCGGCCTCCCTCCTAACAGCCTGCCATAGAACAGCATGACAAAGAAGGACAGGTCTTATTAGAGCCTGCCAAACAGAGGCCTGTAACAGAACAACTTTTCTGAAAATTACAAAAAAAAAATACCACAGAACCGCCTGACTTGGAATGTCCTGCCTCACATCGGACTGTCACAGAACAGCGTGCCTCATAACTACCGGCATCATAATAGCCTGACAAGATACAACCTTATTTAGAATGACCTGTGACAAAGATAATTATTTATAACAGCCAGAAATAGAACATCATTCCCCAGAATGGCTTGGATCATGTCAGCCTGCCTCAAATCGAAAACGTATCCCAAGACGTTACATCTTTAGCCAGCAACACAACATTCATCACAATACGTGCCACGCTACATAGTAGACATCACTAAAGCCAGAGAAATTCGTTAGCAGCGAATGAACAGTGAAAACCACGCTTTCAGGAATAAATCGATCTTTTCCTCAAACAAAACCACATAATCGGATAAGGCATCAGATGATTGTGAAGTAGAATCTTAAGCAGATAGACACGCGATATGGGCAGGATATCTGATTCCATTGGTCAACATGATGTTTAAAACGATATTGCAAGTCGTATCAATGTTGTTTTATCACAAAAAGCATATATAATGAATTCGCTATGTTGCAGGGAAAGGAAGATGGTGAGCCAACTTTTGAACATGACATCTCCAACTATCCAAGAAACCCTAAGGATCAAAATTAACATTAACCTCTCGAGACAAAATTGAATTCAAAGACTTACACAGCCCTATATTTATTCGGTGAAACTAAGTGCAGCCAAATTGAGAGTGCGAAATGTACGATAAGCCTGGGTTATAGCCAAACTAAGCGTGGGAAAGATACGGTGAACCATGGTTATAGCCAAACTAAGCATGGGAAAGATACAGTGAACCAGGATTTTAGCCAAACTGAGAGTGGGAAAGATACAGTGATCCAGGGTTATAGCCAAACTGAGCGGGGTAAAGATACGGTGAACCTGGGTTATAGCCAAACTGAGAGTGGGAAGGATACGGTGAACCTGGGTAATAGCCAAACTGAGAGTGGGAAGGATACGGTGAACCTGGGTTATAGACAAATGAAGCTTGTGAAGTGTCTAGTTAAACAAGGTGGCTGTCGAGTATGAGCGTTCATTAGTAATTGTTGCGACTCAATATTATGTTCATTAGTTGTTGAACGCTTTTCCCGCGCTTGACTATTATAGTTAGTGAACGCTCTTCCCACCATTGTCTTTATGACGTATTTTTATGCTGAGTCGTGACGTATTGTCTATGCAGTATTGTGACGTATGTTTTAGTCGTGCGGCAGTCTTGAGTGGAACTTTGGAGTGATAGGATGTTTATTATATTTACTTAGATATTAAAGTTATAGTTATTATGAAAAGGAGTTGAGTTATTCAATGATAAGGAGAATAGTACGACGCTTCAACGTGTGAAAAGAACTGACGAAAGTAATCAATCCAAGAAGACGTTATAGGAGTTGACATGGGGGCTCGTCCGGGAGCCAGGGCTGCTCAAATTTTCATATTGTTTCGGATAGTTGTAATGATAATGATTCACCTGTAAATGTGAGCCAGGGCTGCTCAAATGTTCATATTGTTGCGGATAATTGTAATGATAATAATCACCTGAAAGTGTGAGCCAGGGCTGCTCAAATTTTCATATTGTTACGGATAGTTGTAATGATGATGAATCACCTGTAAATGTGAGCCAGGGCTGCTCAAATTTTCATATTGTTACGGATAGTTGTAATGATAATGAATCACCTGTAAATGTGAGCCAGGGCTGCTCAAATTTTCATATTGTTACGGATAGTTGTAATGATAATGAATCACCTGTAAATGTGAGCCAGGGCTGCTCAAATTCACATATTGTTACAGATAGCTGTAACGAAAATAAATTCCCAAGTAATGTGAGTGAAGGTTGTCCAGATTTTGAGAGCAAGGAGTGCCCTAACATAAAGTTGGAAACCAATGTTGAATTAGTTAAAGAGAGCGCTGCCAGCTCTAAAGGTGCACTTGTTTATGATTTTCAAGAGGAGGTGAGATGTCAGGTCCATGAGTTGGGAGGTGAGGCTTTTGATTGTATTGTTAAAAAAAATGAATCTGTTAAAATGAACTATTGCCATGATTGCTTTGAAGTTCCTGATTTGTTTGAATTTCTTTTTTATCTGACTCTTTCATTTTGTAACAATTTAAAAATATGTATTGTAAAACTTAGGTTTCACATGAGTTATGACCACGGGTCAAAAGAACAGGGAGAGATAATTCTAATAAACATGTTGAAGCATAAAGTTGTGAAATCCACGGACAAAAGATATGTCCCACCATCTGTATCTGTGTTATTTAAGAGCAAATAAAGGCTGCTTAAATTGTGATGAGGCATCTCTCACCTTTAATAATGTTCGATAGTTTTGTGTTTTTATAGTGATGACCATTGGTTTTGTTTAAAAACACACCTTCTTGATGATATGAATATGATTTGGATTAAGTTAGTTATAGTTTCAAATTCAGTAGGATATTGATGTATTTTCCCTGATTTTTTAGAAAAAAATATAATTAGATAAAAATATAATATTTTTATTGGTATGAAAAATGAAAATTAATATTGACATTCAATTTCAATGGTCTGATTTTTATTGTCGTACATGAATTTTTAACTCTTGAATTGCATTTAAAATTATGTACGAAGTATTGTTATTTTATTGCAGTATATCATAAATCTGTTTGATTTTCAGTGAAACCTAAATAATGTTTTTTGATAAGGAGAATTCATATGGCTGAAGGTCTCTTCTTGATGTAATTCATGTAAATTGTGTGTGTATAGTGACGATTTAACTCCCTTAGTTAAATCTGAAATGAAAGAGGGGGGATATGTCGAGTATGAGCGTTCATTAGTAATTGTTGCGACTCAATATTATGTTCATTAGTTGTTGAACGCTTTTCCCGCGCTTGACTATTATAGTTAGTGAACGCTCTTCCCGCCATTGTCTTTATGACGTATTTTTATGCTGAGTCGTGACGTATTGTCTATGCAGTGTTGTGACGTATGTTTTAGTCGTGCGGCAGTCTTGAGTGGAACCTTGGAGTGATAGGATGTTTATTATATTTACTTAGATATTAAAGTTATAGTTATTATGAAAAGGAGTTGAGTTATTCAATGATAGGGAGAATAGTACGACGCTTCAACGTGTGAAAAGCACTGACGAAAGTAATCAATCCAAGAAGACGTTATAGGAGTTGACAGTGGCAGCAACATGAGAATGCGAATGTATGATGAACCTGGGTGGCAACAAAATTAATAAGGCGAAGTGACGGTGAAACGGAGGGGCAGCAAAAATGAGACTTCATCTAGGTCCGTAAACCTGAGTGGGAGCCAAAGCGTACGGATGAGATGTCGTCAATAGTCTTCGTGCAAAACTCAACATGTTAAAGTTCAACTTGTCACATTTTCCCACTTTTCAAGTTAATGAGAATCACTGTTGAGAGGGAGACCGATTTTACGTCATTGAGATGTGTCGATTGTTGTTTGTTTATCGTGGTTTAGCTTACTAAAACATGTCGTGAACATAAAGTTTGATATTGAGAGTTCATTAAGATTTAGAGTTAGTGAGTGATGGTGAGGTCACGCTTGTAATCGATCGTGTACGCTTGTAATCGATCGTGTTTGATAGTGTGTGTTGATGAGAAGACGTTTCCACTTAAGGATATTGTGACGGATGCCAAGAATTAAAATGAGCCCTATTATTTCATGAAGTTTAGTTAGCTCTGGCATTCGAAATGCATCAAACTTAGTGCATAGCTTGACAGTGTAATAATGTACCAAAAACAATTTAGACAGAATTACTCAACGGTTCTTGATTAAAGAAACAAGAAAAGGTTGACGTTTCAGACAATGAAAAGTACGAAAGTCAACCAACTCAAAAACAAGGACAAATGCTGGAAATTTGAACAAATATTTGCTCCAATGTTGTAACCCTAACCCTAATCATAACCCTAACCCTAACCCTAACAAATATTTACCCCAATGTTGTTTTAAAACAAAATTTCCGTCTCTGAATGCCTTACTCTAAACATTTCACACAAAACAAACTTAACCGTTCAAAGCTCTTTCTCCTAGAAACTCTAGCGTACCTTCTTTATGAACATTAGAAACATCATGTCATCATTAATATATAAAGCAATTAAAAAAATCTTGTCTTCAATTCCATATGATCAATAAGAAGCATCTTGTCATAACTTCAATATAAAAAATAAGAAACATCTTGTCATAACTTCAATATAAAAAATAATAAACATCTTGTCATACTTCAAAATGAACAATGATAAAAATCTTGTCATAACTTCTATATACACAATAAGAACAATTTGTCAATGCTTGAAGTCATAACTTGTTTTTATTATAATCTTTCCCAAATTATGAAAAAGCCTTCAAATAGAAAATGTTCTGAAAAAAATGAAACATTCGGTGCCTAATTGATTTCTCTCGTTTCATTTCTGGGACAAAAAAATAATCAATGTTTTTAAAAATTATGTTAATATAAAATTACAGAAAACATTTTTTTTTAAACGTACAGCACGGCAAGGGAAAAAGTATAACACTAGAATATTGCAAAAGTTCATCCACCTTTACAAAATGAAAATGAAAAATACTAGAATGGTTAAGAAATTAGCCCACATTCAAAACTGAAAAGGTAGAAAGCTAGAATGGTGCAAGAATAATCAACATTCAAAATAATAAAAAATTATAACACTAGAATGCCGAAAAAATTAAACAACATTCACAAAGTGAAAAAAAAAGTATCGAACTAGAATGGTGCAAAAATTAATCCACATTCACAAAGTAAAATATACATAAATATATATACTAGAATGAGGCATAACTTAATCCACTTTCACAAAGTAAAAAAGTATAATACTAGAATGTTGCAAAAATTAAACCACATTCTCAAAGGGAAAATATTGTAATTCTTTTAAGGTTGGTAAGTCTCTTGAGTCTGTTGGTTATTGTTGACCGTCGTATTTATATTAAAGCTATCAGAGTCCTCCAGAGCAGAAAGTCTAGAAATTAAATAGTCATAGAGTAATGTCTATGTCTCAGTAGACTTTATGGAAATTATAAACCCATTTTGCCAATCAAGTTCAGTGAGATAAAGTGGGGCCTTCCGTATCACGAATTTAATTGGTGACGCCAGTCAATAAAATCATAAGGGGAATCAAGGAATCAAAAGTAGGTCAACACAGTTTATAATAGAAGCATGAACATTTATATATCAGGTTCTACAATGTGTTCCTTAAATTGTGTACAACTTACTCTATAGCACCATGTAATAGACTACTACAATTATGTCATCTTGCAAATGAAGATCTCCTCAATCTCAATCATTATTTCCAAAAAAATATACACTTTTGAAGTCAAAGCAAACATACACATGGAAAATCACACACATGTGCGTTACTAACCACACACATATACATAGCTACCCGTACACATACACATGGCTAACTGTGACGAAATGGAGCTTACCTGAAAATGTGCATGTACTCACGACGAGCTACTTAGAATCCCCCCCCCCTTTTTTTTGTGAGGTTAGGGCGAGTTATTTCCCCTGATCCCCGTAATCCCACGTGGCACTGATAAATATTTCGACCAGCCTACTGGACCACGAACTGGACCACGAACTGGACCATAAACTGAACCACGCAGTAGAAACGCCGCCCCACCCGACTCGCCTAGGGTGATCGATTATTGAAACAACGTCAACCATCAGAATATTAAGTTCATTTGACTCAGATATCACATGGTAGTGATTGTCCAATAAGCAATTAGAATAGAATCACTATAAGGCCGTTGCAAAAAGCTTTCCTTTTCGATATCGACTGTGAAGCCATTAGTTAACTTAGAGTACCTTAAAGCCGGCTTTTCTAAACCTAGTGTGTGGGACGAACATTTCGACTTCATTTCTTTATTTGCATTACCATGTACATAGCTCTTTAAACATTTGTATGGTCATTCTGATTAGAATGAATGTATATAATTCATTTGTACTTTATACGTTCTCAATGTTTGAAATACGCCTCCATCATAGGGCACGTGTCGGCAACTTTGAGAATTAATTATCTAGACCTATTCCCATCGTATGGATGGTGATGTGGCCACTTGATAGTTGCTAGCCATTATGTTATCCATTTTAATTAGTAGGAAATATTACATTAATCAATTGTATATATTATTAAGTCATTGTATAATTATGTTTGAAACGAATCATTGATGCGTGAGGACGCTAGCCACCCATGCTTGTGCCGACAATGGTGAGGACGCTAGCCACCCATGCATGTGCCGACAATGGTGAGGACGCTAGCCACCCATGCTTGTGCCGACAATGGTGAGGACGCTAGCCACCCATGCTTGTGCCGACAATGGTGAGGACGCTAGCCACCCATGCTTGTGCCGACAATGGTGAGGACGCTAGCCACCCATGCTTGTGCCGACAATGGCGAGGACGCTAGCCACCCATGCTTGTGCCGACAATGGTGAGGACGCTAGCCACCCATGCTTGTGCCGACAATGGTGAGGACGCTAGCCACCGATGCTTGTGCCGACAATGGTGAGGACGCTAGCCACCCATGCTTGTGCCGACAATGGTGAGGACAAATAAGGTTATCGCAACGGACATTAACATTGTAAAACTCATCTCCTTTGACGCCTCGATCTGAATTCGTTGCCTCTGGAAAGGAATTTGTTGACTTCGAGAATATTAGAACCGTTTTTCTCTTTATTTCTTTGACCATCCTTCACATACAACATGGCTGCTACATTGCCGTATTGCTGCAGGACAGCCAACCGCACCTAAGCAGCTGAATTAAGGGAACTGTTACCTGAGGCCTGAGTCCACGAACTCTGCCAGGAATCGATCCGGAGGACCAATTCATCGCCCGCAACGATAGAACTGCGTGCTGATGGACTTTACTTCCAAAGAGAAGTCTCATATACACCCACCACAGCATACTGGGGAATAGATACCCCAGAAGGTATATTTGTGACTGGTATCATCTACCTGTGTGAACGCCCTGAAAAGTGCTGTGCCCTGAAAAGCCACCACGTAAATAGGATTTAGAGTCCAATTCCACAGTGAATGGATCTCGGTATTGCACTGCCGTAACATCTATTTGCTTGAACGCCCTGAAAAGCGCTGAGCCCTGAAAAGCCATGATGTAAAGAATTGAAGAATTTTCTTCCACCATTGAAGTAATTCCATTGCATCGCATTGCTCTGTTATCCACTTACGTGATCGCCCTCAGAAGCGCTCAGCCCTGAAAAGCAGCGGGGTAAAGATTCAGAGGAGCCACCTCCACATCGAGGTGAAACTACCACTGACTGATCAATCCAGATGATCAGAACGATTGACTGATAATGTATGTGTGAAATGTCTGAGTATAAACGCTAATAATACAAAGCAAAGCAACTGTTATGAGAAATAGGCTATACGGGAGGCCATTGTTCATAATATACTAGAACTTAGATTAATTTTTATAAAAGTTGTTTTGCCGACCCTTCACTATCATACCACATATAAATACACCTCTAAATTACTAAGATAATTTCATTTACTGAATGGTGTTATGAAGTATTTCATAGTTAAGGCATAAATAAGTAATGTAATTATGCCTCTTAGTGTGTGAAATCGATATAACCAAATACCCATAAACACAAGTACGTGTGACACTCATCAGAGAGTTGTTCCAACAACCCCTAATATAAAAATCATTTAACCACACTGACCTCACACACACATCGATAAAACACACACATACACATGGTGAACCTCGCACATACACATGGGTAACCACACACATACACATGGCCAACCGGACAGAAATACATAGTTAGCCACTCACATGCTCATGGAAAACAACAATAATACACATTGCTAACAGCACACATAAACATTGTTAATCGAACATATACACATTGCTAACAGCACACATAAACACGGAAGCGTGATTTAATTTAAAAAAATGCCGAGCTTTGATTTAACTATCAATTTATATTTACACAGAAATCAGTCTTACTGCTTCTTTCAATGAGCCATTACGTCTCCGTGCGCTGTCAAGGTGAGTATTATTGCAATAAGCAATTACTTCTCGGTGAGCTGTCAAGGTAATAATTATTGTTATAAGTCATAACGCCCCAGTGAGTCGTCTAAGTAAGTATTATTGTAATAAGCTAGTTCGTGTGCGCTGTCAAGGTAAGCATAATTGTAATAAGCCATTACGTCCTGGTGAGCTGTCAAGGTAAGTATTATTGTTACAAGCTATTACGTCTTTGTGAGTTGTCATGGTAAGTACTATTGTAACAAGCCATTACATCCTGGTGAACAGTCAAAGTAAGTATTATTGTAACAAGACATTACGTTCTGGTGAGCTGTCAAGGTAATTATTATTGTAACAAGCCATTACGTCCTGGTGAGCTGTCAAGGTGAGTATTATTGTAATAAGCGATCAAGTCGACCAGTGTGTCAACATGTTCGGTTCAATTGGCTTTGTCGTGTCCAGTCTGCTTGTGTGTCAATGAGTTCAATTCAATAAGCTATTTCATGTCACGTCTGCCTGTGTGTAATTGAGATCAGTTTAAAGGCTATGCCATCTCAAGTCTGCTTGGGTGTCAATGAGTTCAGTTCAATAAGCTTTGTATTTAAGCAAGTCATAAATGCACCCCAAGTGTCCTGGCTTTGTAACCAAATACATCAGTTATTGATATGTCTAATCAATATCTCTTCGTCTGAGTAGGTTTTAGTTGTTTTAACTTCCTATTTTCGATCTCTTCTCTTTACACGCTTTGATCTTTAAGCCACCTGAAAGACAACAAAATGAAACGTTAACAAACAACAAACGGTCTTGTTTACAAATTAGCAGATCATTTTTTATAAATTAATTTACTTTCAATGTTAATACTTTTATTAACAGGGTGTTCTCCCATCCAGGAAAATCTGAACTTATTTCACAGATATGAGCATTCGGGGAAAACGTACTTCATGTCCAAGGCTACTTACATTTCTGACGTTGCCTCTTCTGCCATGTGCAAAACGTTGTGTGGCTACCTCGCTGAGATAGATGATAAAGATGAACACGATTTTGTCGTTTCAATAAATTATAAGCACTACCAATATGGCATATTGGTAGCAGGGACAGACAAGTACAAAGAGGGCAGCTGGGAGTATGATAGGACCTTGAAAAGTGTAAAATACTTCAACTGGTGCCTGGCACTTGGAGAACCTAATAATAGCAATGATCAAGACTGCATGGGCGTCAGCAACAAGGACGCTTGCATGTTAGACCACCAATGTGTTTATGAATATGGGAAATATGATTTCCATTACTTATGTGAAGTAGATTAAATATTGGATAAAAAGATTATACATTGATTTATCAAAGTTTAGGCTCGGGATTTTCAATCTTTAGATGAGCTTGGCTTTTGCCATTGTTTATGTCAACATATGAGTTTGGCTCATGTTATTGTATATGTCAACAGATGAGCTTGACTTTTGCTATTGTTTTATCTTTCTCTCTTCAAATCTAAATTTGTTTGAGTTCAGATCGTGACTGACAACGCCAGATGTTACACAAGGTTTAATAGCAAGACAAAAATTATTTTAAAAATTCAGAGTTAACTGTAATAATCAAAACTATGCTGAGACTTTGATCAAAACATTTTAATGAAGTAACATTTTTTTTTTAAATAAGCAATATTTGATTGTATAGAACAGCGGTTCTCAACTTGGGGGTCGAACGAGCTTTTCTCAGGGGTCGCCTAAGACCAGCGGAAAACACTTGTACTTTCCAGTTATAACGTGGCAACCAACATAATTTTTTGGTTGGGGTTCGCCACAACATGAGAAACTTTATTAAAGGGTAACGGCATTAGAAAGATTGAGAACCACTGGTATAGAACATACCGTTGGAAATATTTAATTGTAATAAACAAAACTTATTTAAACATATATGATTAAAACTATATTTGTTTCTCTCCCAAATTCTTATTATAGCTTTTCACTGTGTTATTTTGGAAGGTGTCAAATGTCGAACTTATTTTTTTTCAAATAAACAAATAATTTTGAAATAAAACTGTTGTTTGTTTTGTTTCTTTTTCTTTTTCTTTTTGGGGGGGTGGGGGGTGGGGGTGGGGTTAATGATAAAATTGAATTCCATACATTTTGTTGCATTGTTTTATATTGCAATCTTATCATTCCTTGTGTATGTATTTGACCCATAAAAATCCACTGCTTACACAATAACGCTATAAAAACAACAACTTAGGAAAAATGGTTTAGTGGATTTATCGGACAGTAATCAATTGTGACATTTATAACATGTAGTACATTGACTACATTTAGTACATTTATTACATTTAGAACATTTATGACATTTAGTACATTTATGACATTTAGTACATTTATGGCCATTAGTACATTTATGACAAGTAGTACATTTATGACATGTAGTACATTTATGACATTTAGTACATTTATGACATTTAGTACATTTATGACATTTAGTACATTTATTACATTTAGTACATTTATGACATTTAGTACATTTATGACCATTAGTACATTTATGACCATTAGTACATTTATGACATTTAGTACATTTATGACATGTAGTATATTTATGACATGTAGTACATTTACTACATTTTGTACATTTATGACCATTAGTACATTTATGACCATTAGTACATTTGTGACATTTAGTACATTTATGACATTTAGTACATTTATGACATGTAGTATATTTATAAAATTTAGAACGTTTAAGACATTTAGTACATTTATAATATTTATAACATGTGATATTTATTACATTTTGATAATATAAGATTTTTGTATTGATCAAAACAAATGAAATTTTCGTATAGTTGCATTGTACATTTTCAGCACATAAATAAACAATTTGAACACAACACATGTATAGTAAACTAGCGAGTACCCGGCATGCGTTGCAATGCCACTCAAGGAAAGAAAGTGTTTGCATGTTATGTTTCTTCAAGAGCTTTTAAATACTCAAAGTTTTTCTTGTTTTTCCATCTGGTATATATACGAATAAATCAGAAGATTTTCTGACGCGAGAGCAGGCCACATACTGTGGCTGTCCATGGGCGAAGCATGGGTTTTCCAAATTTAGTCCGCAAACTTGTAGCGATTGTCCCTGTGCTTTGAAGACAGTCATTGTAGACGCGTGTCGCATCGGAAACTGTAGGCGTTTGAATTCAAATGGCATATCTGTTGGAATCATTGGGGTGAATGGCAAAAGTACATCACCTAGTTTAAATTTTCCATTTAAAATAGTAACTTCAATGGAACCAATTTCGGAAGATTCATTTGAAAAAATGTACCGTACCTAATGCTTCAATATCAAAGTGCGTTTCTCGTTGCAAATCAAGAGCGAAAAGTTTGTTTGCAGATCGATTCCGAGAGGTCATTCCCAACTCATGAATCATCAATCGATATGAATAGTATTTCATGGCACTGTCTTTCTTATTCGAATTTCTCAATTTGATGTCAAAATGATATCCATCTTCTCGTTGCCAAAATAAAATAGGATATTGCAATCAAACGTATGAGCGATGAGTTTCTGAGACTCGCTGAACATCAACACTTCTGTGATGAAGAATTATATCACTTGAGTTAAATTCTTTGTCAACTATA